CCCATAGAGATGCCCTCACTGTGCCCCCCCCCCGGGCATCCAGTACCTTGTAGCCCAGGTAAACCAGCAGCATCGTCTCCAGGAAGCTGATCAGAGCCACAAGCACCTGGGAGGCAGTGAGGGTTAGTGTGGGACCCCCATGGGCAACTCAGGCCCCTTGCCAGCTCCTGGGTCTCTGGGCAGCCTGGCTTGGCTCCCCCCTTGATCTTCATGGCCTCAGCCCCCTGTCTTCCACCCCCCGCCCTGCTGATACCCCTCACTCCCAACCCATAACCCCCTGCCCTCCACTTACCTGCAACCCCCACAGGGGCAGGGGCCTGTTGACCCAGATAATGGGGGTCCTGGAGAGTTGGGGGGGAGGGGAGAGAAGCCACAGTCAGCACTAGCTCCAAGACTCCCCGCCACCCCATGGCACCTGCCCCCATCCTGCACTCACCAATCAAACCGGGCTGCTGGGGGGTTTGAGTGGTTCTGCTTGGGGCAGCCCCAGCTGCAAAGACATATGAAAGCCAGTGAGAACAGACAGACTGGCAAGGCCATGGGGGCAAGAATGGGGAGGCAGAGACTGGGAGCCCAGATGCCTATGTTCCCTGTTCCTGGAGGCACTTACCAGCCCCCCCGGCCCTCGCGGGGGTCGTCCAGCAGCACCCGGACAATGTAGAGGAGGCAGCTGAGGAGCTTGAGGAAGAAGTTGAAGAGCCGCACGCGGAGGCCTGGAGGGGACAAGGGAGGGACAAGGTTAAATGCTACCCCCTCAGGCCCATTGGTGCCCTTCACTCCCAATCCACATGGGGTTAGATGCCTTCCCCAATGCCTGAGATTCCCTCCCTAGGCTGGACCCCCTCAAGCCAGGATCAGGGCCACTCACTGGAACGCTGGTTCTTGATGAAGAAGAGCTTGAGCCGCTCTTTGAAAGTGTTTTCATGGACGTAGAACTCGACCTGGACCCTGCGGGGACGGGGTAGATGGGCAGCAATGGGTGGGGTGGGGGCCAGGGGGCTCCCTGGGGGGCATCTAGAGAAACCCCATCCAAATGGACCCTGGCAGGTGTGGGGATGGACCAGAGCCACGGACAACCCTGGAGAACCCAGGCATCCAGCCCCCACACAGAGCTCGAGAGAACCCAGGCATCCGGGCTCCCAGTGTCCCCATGCTCTGACCTCCAACTCCCACTCCCTTCCCAGCGCTGTGTCAACTGTGGGGGGACCTCTTCCTGTCTCCTTAAAGAGCCTCATTTCCAGAAAACCAAAGGTTATAGGGTCAAAGGCAAAAGGTCAGGAGCAGTCACAGCAGGGTCAGGCTGGTTGGGAGGAAACTGGCAGGGCCTTGGACCTGAGCTGAGGCATTAGAGCAGTGAGACTGCAGGGCACCAGGTATTGTACAGACCCCCCCAGGCTGGGATCGGGGGACACTGGGAGCAGGGGCTGCATGTTGGGAGTGAGGGGCACCAGCAGGGCTGGGGGGCGGAAGGCGACTTTGGACTGGGACCAGGGGTCCCCCCCAGCCCAGCCCAGCCAGTGCCCCTCATTCTCAACCCACAGGCTCCTGCCCCACTTAGCTCTGCTGGTGTCCCTCACTCTGGACTGAGAGGACCAGTGGAGAGGAGGGGAAGGGGGGGGCGGGGCGCTAGGCTAGCAGGGATCTTGTAGCCGCCTCTGTTGGCATCAATCACCAGGTGCTGGGGACAAGCTGTGCTGGGTGCGGGCAGCACGTCGCTGCGGGGAAGGCAGCTGGACCAGGGGGTTTTGGGGACGCCAGGTCCTTGGACGCCTGGGTTCTCTGGTGCTCTGCTGGGGCCCCATTCTCCCCACTTCCTACTTCTTCCTTGCTGGCGTGATTGGGGGCGCTCAGCAGCAGGGCTCAGGGCAGTGACCTTCTCACCCAGGCTCTGACCAGTACCCACCGCAGACTCGAAGCCCTGGCCCTTCTCAGCCCTGCTG